TCTACTCCTTACATTTTTACACAAATATCTGTACTTTCTACTCCTTACATTTAAAAAAATTGTCTTGTTACTTTAGTTTTGAATGATTTCAATGGAGTTACCGTTATTATTTTTCACGTAATCAATACCAAATTCAATCTAATTGGATGGGAATCTACGTTGCATTTGACGCACCACTACAAGATGAATCGACAGATTTGGCGGTATTCATTCGCGGCAAATCATTGCAGCTTGGTGGCGGTGGCATTAGCATAGTAGCATGGACGACGAGATGATTGAAAATGAACACAACGGAGATCTAGTCCTATTGGCAGACATCCATTTAAAATGTAGGCAACGGCAGGAAAAAAGTGGTTTCTACTTTTACTTTTATACTTTAAGTAAATTTACAATCCTGTACTTTGTTACTTTTACTTGAGTAAAGAAGTTTAATCAGTACTTCCACTTTTACCAGAGTATTTTTTAACACAAGTATCTGTACTTTTACTCAAGTACGGAAAGTGAGTACTTTTGCCATCTCTGCATAGTGTACAGGAACATCTGCCATGAGTATGGGCTGGAAGTCCCAAGGTCAAAATGGAAGACACCTCCTAAGGTAGTTGAGAATGACCGAGCTAAGATCCTATGGGACTTCAAGATCCAGACTGACAAACAGGTGATGGCTAACCAACCAGACATCGTGTTGATCAACAAACAGCAGAAGAAGGCAGTAGTGATAGATGTGGCAATCCCAAGCGACAGCAACATCAAGAAGAAAGAACATAAGAAGCTTGAGAAATACCAAGGACTGAAGGAGGAGCTAGAAAAGATGCGGAAAGTAAGAGCAGCAGTGGTGCCAGTGGTAATTGGAGCACTGGGGGCTGTGACCCCCAAACTGGGAGAGTGGCTACAGCAGATTCCATGTAAAACATCAGAGGTCTCTGTCCAGAAGAGCGCAGTCCTAGGAACAGCTAAGATACTGCGCAGAACCCTCAAACTCCCAGGCCTCTGGTAGAGGACCCGAGCTTGAGGATGACACATACCACCCCACGAGGGGTGAGAAAACAGTTTTTTTGTTTTATATATATACATACAAGGGAAAATAATAGCCATATATATATATATATATATATATATATATATTTTTTTTTTTTTTTTAAACAGATGTGGCTAGAATTTTAAAAATATTATATATATACGAGAGTTCTTGTGAGTAATAAATTTTAGCACTCAGGATTTTCCACCAGGAACCATCTTAATTAAGCTTATATTCCCTGCTCAAACAAATAGCCAACATAACCTGACCGAGAAAATCATTTAACTGCCATCCTTTTTTTTTTTCTACTATAAAAATTTAAAAATAAAATACTTCACTGTAAAATTTTCTCCATATAATTTCCAAATGTAACTAAGTAGTTTGAATAAATCCATTATTTGATAGTATTGTACAAAACAATGAAAAAGGTTTCTCAAAGCGAAAATAAAATATATATTTTTTTAGAAATATCAGGAATAATAGAAACGAAAGCATTAACTAACCAATGTAGAATTCTCTACTGCACATCAACAGCATTTTTGGTCAATGATGGCTTATATTGTTACCCCCAAACAGGTTTCACATCAAAATAAATCTTAAAATAAATTTTCCAACAAATATCTTTTTTACCTTTTAACTTCACCTTGTTAATCTTCCCATTCAGAGCATCCAGAGGTTTCCATAAACTTTGTGGCTTAATTGACAATTTAAAGAAAAGGTCAGTTTTGTCAGGTTTTAAAATTTCTTTGAACCCTCTATGCATTAGTCTCTATGGATCACATAACACCTTTAATCAATAGAGAGCAATTCTCCAGTCTTCTTGCCAAGAAGACATCTTCTTCCATTTAATCTCCCTGACAATTTCAAATAAATATGAAGGAAATGGCCTGTACTTTTATAGCACTTTTTCAAGTCAGGAGACTGAATGTAGCACTTTACATTACATTAAGTCATTCATGCACACACTGGTGGTGGTAAGCTAAAATGTAGCCACAGCTGCCCTCAGGCTCACTGACAGAACCGACGCTGCTGTACACTGGCGGCACCAGTCCCTCTGACCACTGATCAGTAGGCAATGCAGGTGAAGTGTATTGCCCAAAGACACAATGACACTGAAAGCTGGAGCTTCAACCGACCTCTGTCTGGTTGCAGGGCGAACTCCTAAATCTGGGGCAACTGTAGCCCCTTATTCAGTAACTGCATTTTTCATCAACGGTTCTTAAATCATTGCCATATCATTCACATGATAAAACCCAAACAAGATCCCTTGGGGAAATGTTTCAGTAATAATCAGTGCAAAGAATTTGATGTTCCAAGTCTCTTTGTTTCCATCGGCCTTTGGGTTTTAAGACACTAGGATAAAAAGGGAGAAACATTTTAAACTATACCTTAAGTGATCCAAAATTAATAGTTTTACTAAAACCCAAATTGCCTACTTTTCAGCCGTACATTCCACATATTGCCTCCACAAAACAAATAAAAGCTTTGTGGTATGTTAATGCTATCACACAGTTTATCAATAAGGTGCTGGTGGAGCCAGCCAATGATGTGGCTCAACAATATCATATGTAAATATGGCAGATTGTAGCCATTGGCTAATTTCCATCTGTAATCCGTGGGCAGGTTAATGTTAACATTAAATTTATAATGAATTACACATAAGAAATATGCATTACAAACAGGCCGGACAAAAATTGTATATCAGTGTCCCTCACAACAGCAGAACCCACAGGAGGAGTAGGAGAGTAATTGCTGCATTTCCTAAAACACTGCACCATACCTTAGGTAATAACTGCCCTAAGTGACGATTTGAGTTCTTATAAGATATGCTCACAAGTTTGAGCTGTCCTTAGATGTTGTAAAACTTGGAGGTTCTTTTAAAGCTTTTGTATGTAATAACATTTTGACCAGATGCTCTTTTTCTCACAGGTACCTCACAATCAGCTCTACTCCTGGCCCTGGTGGTCCGTGATGCTGTCATCAACTATAGTTAATGCAGTTCTTTTTCAGCATTGGAGTGAAACCATGTCAGCTTTTGTAGATAAGGCATTTTTAAGTTTTTTTGTTTGTTTTTTTAAGTTTTCAAACCTTAATTATTTATACTTTGACATAATATTATAATGGTGATAAATAAATATTTCTTTATACATTATTTCCAATGCTTTTTTGTACAGCCCCTCCATTCGCTTCAGGAATATAACACCTGTTAGAGACCAGCTAATTATGCAGTAGCTTACGTAGGATAAGATAATAAATTCCAAAAACATCATGGCAGCTTTGTTCATACTGTATGTGATGTCATATTTGAATAAAATTAGAAATCTTGTATTTAATTCTCTGAGTTATCAGTTTTATATGACTTTTAAAGGAGAGCGTTGTGTCCAACAGCAAACCCAAATATCTAAATTCTGATAGTAGCTCATCTACTGACTGAGATAAAGAAATTCTACCTGGTAAAATGATGTGGCATGTCGTTAATGTCTCGCAGCCATGATGCATTTTTGTGTTGTGTTGCAACTTGTTTTAAAAAGACAAACACCTATGAGTCATTTGGTATTTATTTGTCACTGACAAACTGCCTCTGCTTCTTATTTTATCTGGAACTTATAAGTTACTTTGATCCTTACAGTTAGAATGAATATAAAGATACCTGCTTAATATATAATAACTTTGCAGCTTTATTTATTTGTTTGTTTGTTCAATAAAACCAATGCTGTAATGATCAGACTAATGAGTTAACCTGAGGCTTCTTTAATTCCAGCTAAATGAAACTAAAACTCTGTTTCTCTTCTGTTTCTCTGTAAACAATTAAGCTGTTTCTCTGGTATGTGGCTGCATGACATCAACTGAACATGGTTACAAGTGATGTTAGGGCGCCACCATCTTGTCTGACTGTGTATAACTGACCACTCTGTTGGGTTGGTTTATGGATGAGTCATAACAATAAATAATCTATGTAAATGTTGGCATAAAAACCAGGAAGACATTACTTCCCTTGGTTACCAACACTTACTGGGACAGAGAAGCTTAATGTCTGCCTTGTTTAGCCACATTTCAACAGTCATGCATACAGAAAAACAAAACAAAGAAAAGATAATAACAACTCCTGTTGTGTTATAGAGAAAGGTTATGAAAAATACATCTGCTGACATAAAATGTGATAAAACTCAGAATTAAGTCAACTATAAAAAAAACATGTTCTTATTATTTTTATATCTGCATTTCCAGAAATTAAATGTGTTACTTTACACATTTAACCTAGAATTAACTTAACTTTTTACTGATAAATATCTTTACAATGCCCTTTTTATTTGACCCTTTACGACTAAAACAGGCAGAAATAAATAGCATGGCAGAAATAAATAGGGTAAAAAAATTCAAAGGAAGAATAAACCAGACAAAAATACATGGACAAAATAAATACTTAAAGAAATAAGCAATAAATTAATACATTTGAAGTTTATAAAGAACAATAAATAAATAAGGTAACTGTTACAAAGGTGAAAAATCAACAAAACTAATTAAAAGAGATATTTACATTTATGTCTCACTGTATAATTTAATTTCTATCTAAATTTATTTATTTATTTATTGTATTTTTAGTGGGGAATTGTTTGTATGCTCATTTGTTTTTGGAGAATTTATTTATTTCTGTATTTATTTTTAATTATGGCAGGATTGGTCTTCCATAATCCTGGACCTTCACCATAGATTTGAGCCCAATCGCAAAAAAATTACAGCAGTAAAACAAAAACAAAGTCATATACTAAAAGTACTTTTTTTCAATAGATAATCTTCAACTTCTAAAACAAATTTAAATAACACCAACCACCAGTTTAACCGCTATTTTTTATCTAACACTTTTTCGTGATAACATAACTCAATGGGACAGTTTGCTTTCAGTTTCATCATCGACCTCTGGGTGATTAACCTAGTAACAAGTGACGTCACGTCGCTCTCAAGTTTTTTTTTTCTTTTTTTTTCATTGGTCAATAACTCCTCTACTTCCCTATTCAAGAGGCTAGACTGAAAAACAAAATGTGAGAGCAAGAATGTCTAAACTAGTATGGATATTGACTACCGTATTTATATTCTACTAGTAATACAGCGCGCAGCGACAGGTGAGTGAGAAATACATTTTTGGAGATAAAGGTTAAACTATAGTTTAACTCAAACAATGTTATGCCCTTTTGATTGTAATCTGTAGGTGAAGGCTAGGGCGATACGACGATGTATTAGGGCCGTTGTCTATTTTTTATTGTGAGAATAAAATAATATTACCAGTGATGTGGATCCGTCAAGCAGCAACAACAACAACAAGAAAGTTAATGAACAATATTTATTGTTAACAAATTAAGGGACCTCTCGTTAACTTCGTTGTCAATCCGATAACATTTGATACAAAGTTAAAAACAACTACTGAAGGCAAACCCGTGTAAAGCACTTAAGTCGTTCACTGCAAATTTATATTGAACTAGATTCCCTGCAAAATGATTAGATGCAATCTAAACCTGATCAAACTCCAAACAGGGCTGAGTCTCTATATTCTAGGAAGTGAGCATAAGATGAAACACAAAATGGATGGAAAAGTGTTAGTTTGCCCTCACCAATAAGGGAGACAAAACAAAGGGGACTAACAAATATGAGGTAAAGGACAGCAGAAAGTAGTCACAGCACTTGAAACAATTACTATATGCTTGTAAAACACTTTTAAGTCATAGGGAAATCATATTTAAATGTCAAATAATTCTGGCATGTATATAAATATGCTCTTTATCAGACCATATTGTACCAAAATTTAGAAAATTTCTATTAAAAAAATCCTGTTGTAAAATCTGTGGGTTTTTTTCGTTATCTAATGCAGGCCAGTTAGTTATACGTCAGCCTGAACACCTAAATTCGGCCAATCATATATCAACGGTCATCTGTCAATCAAATGTTTTCGGTCATAGCATCTTGATTCATATGTCGCAGCTAATATACGGAACGGTTGAAATCAGAAATAAGAATAATTTCCTTTCCCACTGAGTTCTGTCCCAGTGTTCACGGGGATGGACGTCTGTGTCTTCAGCAGGCGTAGAGCTAACAGAACTGGCAGCGTTGCGAGGCAAGGGCTCAAACATGTACGGCTGGAAGCCTTCTACACCAAACCAAGCTTCTGCCGCCTCGGCGTCCTCTTCCACAACATCTTCGTCCCCGCTTTCCTCCTCTAAATAAAAAATAGATGACGGAGGAGACTCATCCACGACCTCCGACACTAAACTCTCCTCCTCTTGCATGTTTCCGCTGTCCATAGCATTCCTTGACAGTGTCGTTTCTAAGTCACCAATTTAGTGCTACTTGGTCCCAATGGAAATCCCCATTGGGAACCTACTAGCACTAAGTTGTTAACTGGTTAGCAAGAGGCTTCCAACAAAGTGGCCACAACCAAACTTGCTTGCAAACTTTTGCCACAACAATCCCGCCCCCTTGATAAATGACCAATCACATTTACTTTATTCACTCTAGTAGTACTTTTGTTTTTTTTATCCAAAAACCAATTTAGCATTTCTACGTGCCATTTAAACATTGAAATGCTAGGCTATTAAAAACATACAGTGCTGCACATATTTATTAGCACTACTAGTTATTATGTGTGGTAAGCCCTAAAAATATTGATCTTTTACTGCTGCAGCATCATTTTACACAGAAAACGTATTTATATTCGATGAAGAAACACAATTTAAACATTAATAGTTTAATCTTCTTTGTTAAAAAAACAATGTACTAAAATTAGTAATACCCCAAAAATGTCTTTAAAGCGAAAATGCTTCTTTATCAAATTTCAACTTTTTCAGGTTGATTAGAGAATTAAGGGGAATTCTGGCTGAAATAAAACAAAGAAAATAACTGACAGGCAGCGTATAAACAGACTATGAGTGGCTAATGAACCTACTGACATAAACAGACTCTATGGATGACAGTCTTTGCATTCCTTTGCCGGAACGTCCTGGCCACGGCTGCCCAGGCCCATTTTCGAACCTTTTTTTGTCGTCTATAAACTTTTGATCAGTAACCGAGGTCTTCTTGTTATGCACCAGCATAACAAGAAGACCTCGGCTATAGAACAGTTATAGAACATATTTGGGATGACTTAGAGAAGAGACTAAGAGCCAAGCCTTTACAACCAACATCAGTGTGTGACCTCACAGATGTTCTTCTGTAAGAAACTCTCATAAACACTCCTAAAGCTTATGGAGCTTTCCCAGAAATGTTGAGGCGCAGCAGAGGGGGCGGGAACGACTCTGCGTTCACTGCGGCACACATGCAGATAGCCTAGTTGCGAAGTATAAATCAGCCTTTAGAAATGGGATGATGGTTTAAGCTCATATGTGAGTCAAGGCAGGTGATCAAATATTTTTGACAATGTATTTTAGAGCTAAGCCTTTCAGTAATTTGTAGATTAACAGAAGTATTTTAAAGTCTGTTCGCTTATGTTCTCCACTTTCATAGTTTTTATTGCAGCAGAATTCTGGATCAGCTACGACAGTTGCAGCGATGGGATTAGTTTTACGGTCTTCCTGAGACATTAGTCTTTAATCCTGTATTTGTTCTTTTGGTGATGTCATCTTTGTTACCATATTTATGACCCTCTGGATGTCTGAGTCCGTCACCACACCCAGATGCCGATCGTGGTTTTTGGTGGGGTTTTTTCCGCAATATTCAAAGAAGTTTTCTCACGTTTAATTTCTCTTCTTTTATTCCAAAAATGATTAGAGCTGCAACTAACTATTATTTTGCAAACCGTTAAACTGTTGTTTTTAATAATGGAAATTTTTTCAAGGACACCTAGTGTCTTTCAACTAAATGTTGTTTTAAGCCAATCATGGTAACAAATGAAACAACCCGAGATTTCATTAAGAAACAAAACAAGATTAGTCAAAACTAGAGCAGGAAGAGACTGCGGTATGACTGACAGAGAGGGTGTTGGGAATATTACCAGGATTATTTAAAGCACTACCTATAGTATAAGCAAGAATTCCAGTGCTAGATGTTTTAGGATTAACTGGGAACCTTTAATTTGTAATTTTAGAGCTAGTCTAATGTTTTGCAGGTTTATTATAGTAATCTCTAGACATGGTGTCAGTAGGAAAGTCCAAGACTTTTATTGAAATAACAAAACAGAAACTAAAGTGGAGCTACTAGGAACTACGTCTCGTGGATGCTGCAGGAGGGGGGGGCGGGGCACCTCCCAATCACAGACACTCTGTAGGAGAAACACAGGTAAGTGACCACGATCATCTGACAGAAGATGATGAGCTCAGTGAGTCACTAACCTGGTTTAGCAGTTCAGTCCATCACCCATGAAGGGGGTGCTATCCAGCCGCTGGGCTGAAAGCTGACGCAGCGCGTGTCACCCAGAGTGTCCCTGGTGCTGGAGCTCCGGAGGATTAGCAGGAAGCAGATCCTGGTCAGGGATACAGATCAGGCAGGATCAGACAGGTGGGAAGGTCCAGACGGTTATCCTGTCTTGTTCAATATCTACAAGAACAAAGTTATAGATTTAGGTTACTTTTATAGACATAAAAGTTAAAATAGAAAAGATGCTGCATTTAAAACCGAATGCCTCTTACCAATGGCCAAGCATAGTCTGTACCTGAAACCCTGAAACCACATCCATCCATTTAACTGCTCTAGCTGCTTGTATGACGTTGGCTCCATTACCTGTAGTCAGACAGACTAGCTTCACCTCCTCTGAGCTCCAAGCTGCCATAAAGTATTTCAGACAAGTAGTGATGTTTTCTCCTGTGTGGCCTTGTGGCAAGAAGGACCTTTGGAGATATTTTGAGTTGAAGTTAAATTTGTGGTCTATGATATAGATTGTTTGGCTGATGTAAGGGCTCCATTGTGCGGCTAGAGCACAGATCTGTGGTGATGGTGGAAAAAGTCTGCTGACAAAAGTTCATATGACATTTCTTGTACATAGCAGGAAGGGCAGCTTGTGCAAAATTACATCTTGCTGACATAGTGTACCATTTATCCAATGTTTTCACAATTTATCTGAAGCTTTGGTTTGAGTTAGGAGTTGCTAAAAAAAAAAAAGTGATTCTGCCACAGAAATGTGAGCTGGTGAAGGATTTTTCATTTGTTTTTTTTGTTTTCTCATTACAAAAAAAACATGTTTTGCAAGTTACATGCCTCTGGTTATCGTCCATTTCATCAAATCTAAAGAGATCCCATATGAGAGAGTTAGACTTCCCATGTTTGTTAGCCAAGCTTTTTTGTGATCCTTCTGCCATTTCTCCAAAGCTAACCTGTAACAGCACTCCTTTAAAGGGCCACAGTCTAGCTCACTTTGAGGGGGTGCGAAAATGCACTCACATTCGCTTTATGTCAGACGGCGCAGTCATTAACATTAAATAAAAAATAATTATAATAATTTCCAGTCAGCTATTTTTAGAATTGTTAGGCAGCGAGATAAAGATTTAATTTGGATTAATCGCACAGCTCTAGTAATAATCCATAAACTGACAAAGATAACAAGGGAGAGATAGTAATCTCGTTATACAGTATGTAAAATGTACCTGCTTTCCTTCTACTCCAAATAAAAATACTTTATTTTGTTATTTTAAAACACATTTGTAAAAAGTTTTATTACTGGAGTTTCACAGACTTGAGAAAATGATTTTCAGAGGTTGGTACAGGCATCTGCTCTGGGCTTTCTTTTATCTGAGGCTTTTATATCATTTGCATAGAGATCAGAATTATTTCGAAGTGACTGAATTAAAAAATATATTCCTTTATAAGTTTTGACCATATTGTTCAGCAACAGAGTGATGATGACAAAAATATTAAGAAATGTGTTTTTTTCCTCACAGTGATCCACTCTCTGAGGTATTTCTACACGGCATCTTCTGGGATCCCAGACTTCCCTTCATATGTGTCTGTTGGGTTGGTGGATGGTGTTCAGATCAGTTACTGTGACAGCAACACCAACAGAAACATTCCTAAACAGGAATGGATGAATGGGTTGTATTCAGAAAATCCACGTTACTGGGATGAGGAGACTGAGACATGTCTGGAAAAACAGCAAAGCTTCAAAGCAAACATAGAAATTGCAAATCAGAGATTCAACCAGACTGGAGGTTTGTTTATTATTCATGCTCTACATGTCATATTCTTTAACATCTGCTTTTTAAAATGTTTTAATTTAGGTTTTTGTACATATTTGTATCAATGATTATTGTGCACATGGTTGTAAGGGGTTGTCAACATTATTATTGGTTTTCATTATTTACGTTAGTATACAAAATATAGACATGGGGCTTTATAGGTCAAGTTGATGTACGCTTTTAAATGATGACCCTTCAGCTCATATTAATACACATTTTACTGTACTTGGACATGGAATGTATGTTTCATCAGTTGTTTTTTAACAGGCAAGTGGGTTGCTATGGCAACAACCAGTCCGAAAGTTGAGTTTAATGGCTAACTCCATACACTGGCCCATACACTGCACGACCCCGGAAGACATGCCCCTTTTAATAAACAACAACACTGTACACCTGCTAATGAGACCTCATTAACATGCTGCCCAGTGCATGCTGGGAAAACAGACTCCAGCTGCCCCAACACATTACAATATCTTTATTTTGAATATGTTATTACGTAGTAAGTTTTTGAATAAGTTTTCAACAAGGATTTTACCTTAAAATATTCAAATATATTCACAGGTTCTGTCTTAGGCTACAAATAGTGTTTGTTATCTCTTGGTTTTTGTGCCTTTTCAGTTATCCTTTATCTCTTTCTCTAATCAGTATAGTCTTTTCCAGTCTCAAGATTTTTTTTTTATATTTTTGTTTCTGTAGTTTATTAGTTTAATAGGGACAGTCTACAAAATACAGTAATCTTAATCTTAAAAAGAAGAGATGTTTTGTACCAGAATTTGCTATTGCTGATTTCCGTTGTCCCCTGGCAGGTTCCCAAATTTGAAAAACTCATTACAGAAAAGACTAGATAGGTCTAAAATACAAAGAAATAGTGTAAATATAAAATATATACACAGTCAGTAATAAAATTGTTTACAGATTATTTGGACTGATACTGACAAAGTTTGTGAGCAGGAATATATTAATAAACTAAAAGGCAGCTGTCCAGAGGAACTCCATCTGAAGTTAAGTTATTTTCTCTGTGATATCTCTGTATCTAAGTAACTCTAACTGACTACTTTAAAACATAGCACCTTCTGCTGCACTTTTCTACTGAGCACTTGTCAGTTTCACACGGTTTTATTTCTGATAGCAAGGAGTAGCTAGCCTAGGCTAGCGCTAGCTTAGCATTGCTATGGCTTCTCTCTCTCCCTTGCCTCTTTTTCAACTCTTCCTTCTTCCTCTCCTCTCTCCTGCTCTCTGTGTCAGATGTTCAGTTATTCCTCTGCCTCCTTTAGTGATAATGGGATGTGTAATAAGTGTAGTATTTTTGTAGCTTTGGAGGCGAGGGTGTCAGAGTTAGAATCCAGGCTTCAGGCTGTTGAACATCCAGGAGTTAAAGTAGGCCCCCCACGTAGCTGTCCTCCAAAAGTGCCTGAGCAGCCAGGCGATTGGGTAACTGTACGCAGAAAGCGTAGTCGTGGATCTCTGCCCACTGGTCACCACCAACCGGTTCACGTTTCTAACCGGTTTTCCCCACTCAGTGACACACCCACTGAGAAGCCCACTCTGGTGATTGGCAGCTCCATAGTCAGAAACGTGGCATTAGAGACACCAGGGACCATAGTCAAATGTTTGCTGGGGGCCAGAACGGGTGACATCAAATCCTACCTGAAACTGCTGGCTAAGGATAAGGTTAAATACAGTAAGATTGTTATTCACGCTGGCGGTTATGACACCCGGTTACGGAGGTCACTAAAATTAGTGTTGCTTCAGTGTGTAAGTTTGCCAAAAAAATGTCGGACTCCGTAATTTTCTCTGGTCCCCTCCCTGATCTGACCAGTGATGATAAACTCATAAAAATGGACCATTCAAAACTGTTTCATGTCATTTTTCATTTTGGGGGGAGTTATTAATGAAGTCTGTTTTAAAGTCACTACTATTAATCAAACTCTCTTTGTCTCAGGAGTTCACGTCTATCAACAGATGTACGGCTGTGAGTGGAATAATGAGACTGGAGAGGTTAAAGGTTATGATCAGTTTGGTTATGATGGAGAAGATTTGATTGTTCTGGACCTGAGGACACTGACATGGATCGCTCCCAAACAACAAGCTTTCATCAGCAAACGCAAGTGGGATAATAATAGATATGTTGCACAGTATGAGCAGTTCTACTTAACTCAGACGTGTCCTGAGTGGCTGAAGAAGTATTTAGGCTATGGGAGGAGAACTCTGATGAGAACAGGTAAACATCATGTAGTTCAAAATGCACAGCTATGCTTCTGTTTGTGCGTTGCTCTGTATGAATTTTACTCTATCAAAGTTATTGGTGTGTGATAATTGTTTTTTACACTCTCAATATTTTGTTCATCATTGACATCTTTGCTAAAAAATCATCAAGTTTTATATTATCTATATTGTGTTTATAAATGGATTATAAACAAATTCTGTGTAGAGTTATAAAACACAAACATTTGTTTTATTTATTCTTCAGATCTTCCCTCAGTGTCCTTCCTCCAGAAGTCTTCCTCCTCTCCAATCAGCTGCTTTGCTACAGGTTTCTACCCCAACAGAGCAGAAATGTTCTGGAGGAAAGATGGAGCAGAGATCCATGATGGTGTGGAGAAAGGAGAGATCCTCCCTAACAATGATGGAACCTTCCAGATGACTGTAGACATAGATCTGTCCTCTGTTCCACCTGAAGACTGGACCAACTATGAATGTGTGTTTCTGCTCTCTGGAGTCAGGAGAGCCATCATCAATAGAGTGGAGAAACCAAGAATTGTGACCAATAGACGTGAGTAATTGTGTGAGGGCCCCCATGTGTTACTGTAGGGCCCTGTCACACCCTGCCGATTTCGCCAGCGTATGCCCAACGTCCCAGAATCTCCTAAAACACTGGCTTACGCTGAACTTTCTATGTATTTTTTCAAACTTTTTGTATACATAGAGCATTTATAAGGAGTCCAGAACTTGTGTCCAACAAAAGCCTAAGTTATGCATATTGTACAGCAGCATAATGCCCATGAAATGATGCACAAGCACCATTTCATGGGCAGAACGAAGAATCAGTGAAAACTGCTACCCTCAGGTGCATCGCAGCAATGCGCCCGGACGTGCCTGGTCTGCATAAAAAGATGTCTTTGATTGTGGTATTAACCTAGCAGCTGTTTAACACCCTCCAAAAAAAAGAAAGAAAAATAAAGAAAAAAGGTTGTTCATTGCCGTGGGCGTGAAGGCAGGAAGGATCCATTATCCTCACATTCTCTCTCCCCCTATTATGGAGATGAAGTCTGGAGTACTAACGGTTTCCTCCTGTGTACCCCCTTTCATACCAAAGCGCTGCCAATACGCCATTAAAGTGTAGCTGTAAGTTAGAAACATGTTCAGCGCTCTTCTGGAACACGTCAGATATGTGGATATGCGTTGGACAGAAGTTCTTAAATAGTTATGCACAAGTTACTCATACATTTTGGATAAGCTGGACACCACGACTAATGAGTAACTTACACCTAACGTATCTTAGCAATCAAATAACTTACCTGTAACTTATGGCCCCATAACTTATCCAACGCATCCCAGCGTTTTATCAGATTTTTCGTCCATCAGGCATACGCTGGCTACATCATCAATAGGTGACAGGAGCTTGAACAGGTAAATAAATATCTGCTCATATGAAAATTTTCTTTACATTTTCTTTACATTCAGTTTTAGGACTTCTATGAGAAGCGTTTTTGTTTCTTTGGATCATTACCTAAGCCTGAACCATAGATAAAAGTTAAATTTTATAATTTATTTATTGATATTGTAATCTACTCTTGTTATTTGTGCTTATTGTTGTTATCAGTAGATACCAGCTTCTAAAATGCTTTTAGCTTTACTAATTTTGAGGTTTCTGTTCAGCTCTTGAAAGTCAAAGAGCATTATTATGTAATTAATGACTCACAATTATAGTAAATGACAGGAATTACTATAAAACATAATACAAACCAGAACAAGCAATATATGAACAAAACTAAAACCTGGTTATAAAATTTAGAGCAAGTGGAGTAAAAGACATAAAAGAAACTCTGGATCTGTATCAAAAGTGTCCTGGTTTCTCTTCTCAACAGTGAATACCAAAACTGTCATCATCCCCATCACTGTTGCTTTCCTGGCTTCCCTTGGTCTCATTGTGATTGGATTCCGTTTTTATAAGAAGAGGAAGAATGGTGAGTGACAGATATTTTATCCAAATTTTTCTTATTTTGATAGTTGAGAAACAGACATGGTTTAAAAGTTAATACTATAAATGGTATTACTCTGTGTTAGCAAATGTTTAGTAGCAGGCAGTTAGTTTCATAGGGCCAAAAAAGGAAATTTGAAACTAATAAAAAGGGAGAGTGGAAAATGAAAAAATGTCTTAGAAAAAAATTTACGATATTTGCGCGATATTTTCTGTGGGACATTAAGAAAAAAAATTCCCAGTCAGACTAACTGATAATTAAGTTTGTTTTCATATTTTCAACATCAGTGAATCAATTTTATTTAATTGTATCTGGAGCGGAACAGCTACAGTCAGATGCTTAAACGCTTCCGACGCGCCGCGCCGCAAACGCGTTGCTGTTCGAGATCGAAAAATTGAACTTTTGCTGCTCGACGCGCCGCGTCAACCAATCAGAGAAGCTGATCTGGGAGCTGGCAGAGAGACAGACACATCGCTGATGATACAGAACGCTGTGATCACTCCTCTGAAACAGCTTATTGACGCACAAATTAACTTAAAATGCAGAAATCTGCCGACAGAATATGTTCGCTTTTATTATCCTGGTGCCTGCAGTTTAGATTATTTAGATGAAAAACACCTACCAGCTGCTGCGGTGAACCGCGAGGAGGCGACCCGGCCAGAGGCTGCTGTTGAATGGGATTCCTACTGACAGCGCACCGCCGGTATGTGGGGGTCTGAGCGGCTCTGACAGAAATAATATTAGAAGGCAGGATTGTAATCTGAATGAACTGACTGCACTGATTACGTTTTTAGGTGGATTTTCTCACTTAAATACATATTAAAACTACTTTATTCCCACTGATCACAGCAAATATAGCTGCAAGGCAAAGAAAGGATAGAGTAGCTCCGCCCAACGCGCGTCAGACACACTTTTGCACCGCGCAGCCAGAGCAGCAAAGCTGCTTCAGCCGCGCATCAGAACTAACTGGTACAAGCAGCAAAAAGGAAGCAGCAGACGCGATTTTGCTGCTCTTGCTGCGTCCGGTGTGAACGTAGCATTATAGCCTACAGTAGGTCTATGTTACTTATTCTGTGCATCAGCTCTGCTGTGCCTCCGGTGGATTTGTTTAACATTTCTGAAAATAAAGTTTGAAACAAATGGTTTCCTAGAACAACAACATAGAAGATAACTGCATAGGCTACAGAAAATTAAAGCTAGCCTACCTCTGTTTTGTGTTGCGGATGTGCTGCGCTGCATTAAGGAATCACTTAACATATCTATCCATGGTTCCTTGGATCAAGGTGTTGTCCAACGCCAAGTTCACTTCTTTTTCCAAATGATGTAAAAGGTCAAAGTTTTATGAACCAACATGCAGGAGACCGGTCTGTAAAATGCAAACTGCCTTCCTCATATCAGCTCTGGAAGAGACAACAGTCGCAGCACTGGTACCCGAACCAAAGCGCCCTTGTACCTCTGAGATGATGTCCTTATGCATCACGGACTCTGACACAGGAGTGCTGTCATTAATTTCGAATTACTTATTAATTATTTTTGCACATGTTTACACTCATAAAATGGCCAAAAAAGAACAGTATAAGCAGATTTCTTGATTACCATTAACAAATTATTTAAACAGCATTTGTATAGAAATAATTCTGTCCCAAGCCTTTTGATCTATATAAGCGGTTGATTACTACATTCGTGACCACTATAAGTGGATTCCACTGTACCAGCCACCGTTGTACACAGGAAAAATGGCAGAATTAAATATATTTCTTTAACCAACATGGGCAAATTCTTGCTGCATAGTGAATCACAGTAACAGCAAAAACCCGGTTTATCGCCCAGGCCTAGTTTAAAGCTTGGGAAATCTTTTTGTAATCTTCATCTTCAATTGCTGAAGCATGTTATTTTAAAAAAAGAAAAATTGCAAGTTTGAAAAAAAACCTTGAATCTTTATGACCCCTTAGTTTCATAGAACCAGATTAAATGTGACACAACTGTGAACCTGGATTAATGAAAGCTTTAAGGCTTTCGTTCAAAGGAAGCAGACAAAAGCGTATTTAGAAAAAAATTATTTAACATGATTTTTGTTTTTTGTTTTCAGATGCAAGAGATGTCCCGGGTTTAAACTCATCTTTATCTAGCAACAATGGCAACAAATCAGACGATGGCAACGAATCAGACGATGGCTACAAATCAGACGATGGCAAAGATTCAGGCGATGGCAAAGATTCAGGCGATGGCAACGAATCAGACGATGGCAACGAATCAGACGATGGCAAAGATTCAGGCGATGGCAAAGATTCAGGCGATGGCAACGAATCAGACGATGGCAACGAATCAGACGATGGCAAAGATTCAGGCGATGGCAACGAATCAGACGATGGCAAAGATTCAGGCGATGGCAACGAATCAGACGATGGCAACGAATCAGATGATGACAACGAGTCAGGTGATGGCAACAAGTCAGAAGATAGCCAAGGCAGCGCCTCATTGATAAACCCATTGATGGTAAACTCCCTTTCCGTCAGCTTGTTTCTGTTTGAAAATCTTGTATGCATGACTAAAACAGTGTTTCTACATAGAAAGATTGTTTAAATATTTCTGTCTATCTTAATGTCTCAACAGAACACCTAAAGAAACCACCACCGCTTTAAGTCTCTGCATCTAAATAAAACATCAGTTGTACGTTATGAATTAGATATTCTTTTCAATGTATTTCTGCTGCAAAGGCTGCTGAATACGCTCTGTTTATATAATTTTTTTCAATGCATACTTCAAGTTTGTTATGAATGAAAAATATTTTTCCAAAATATCAGGAAGAACTTGTTCCTGTTTTCCTCCTGCGGGGGGAAAACAGTTTTGTGATAGACCGTGAGATGTCTAGGATGCACCTACCTGATGTTTGATTGAGGTTTATAATAAGATTATAAAACATACAAAGTCTGAAACGTGTTATTGTCAAATGGTTCTCTTTTTTATTCTTATATTATACTTGTGGTAAATTTCCAACACAGAACTATTTTTCAAAACTTTTTCTGATAGTGAAGTCAATATCTAATTATTTTTCTAAGGTGGTACTTTTCGTTTCTTTGTTATTTTCATTCAATCCATCCATCCATCCATTCATTTTCTATCATGTTTATCCCTGCTGGGGTTGCGAGGGGTGCTGGTGCCTATCTTCAACTGTCTGTGGGTGAGGGGTGTGTCATTTGGAGCCATTCTGAAGATATTCCGTTAGGTTAAATCCAAGTAACGTCTTCCTATAACCGCGGATTCGCCTACATGTTATGAATGCTGGCGTACCATAAAGAATAAATTACTAACAGTTTAGTTTGTATCTTCAAGTCGCCGATTTAAAAAAAAATGGCATTCCCCTTTAAGCTTTTTGGACTGGTGCAGTAAGAGCCTCTTATGAAAGATGGAGCCTCTTCAGGTCTTTATTTCAGCTCTGAAGGAGTTGCTCAGTCTCTTCATTGGTTTGAAAGATTTAGTGCAGCAATTAAATTTTAAAATATATAAATTTGGGGCATTTGTTCTCTGTCGTGCCTTCTTTCTTTGATTTACAACTTTGACCCCATTGGCAGTTGAATATAAATCCACAGAGAAGCTGTACCTTTGCATGTGCTGCATGGTTCAAAGAGTGGCAAAAAAAAGTAGGCGCTCATAGTCTGGAAATTACAGTATTGATTTTATAATCGGTATGATTTCATTTCAAAATGTTTGGGAATGTTAGTAAATTCTTTGATCTTCTTTTGTTGTTTATGTTGGTTCCTTTTTCGCTTTAGAGTTTTTTTAAATGTTTAATTCTTTGAATTGTATTCAATAAATAAAATATGTAAAGACAATGTATTTATGCTACATTCACAATCTTTTACGTTTTTATTTATAACGTCTGTTCTTACCATCTATGTACTGTTTTACATAGTACAGACTTGACATTAATAAATAAAGCTTAATATCCAGTAAAAAAAAACAAAAAAAACCCAGGTATTTTTAAACTTTAGTTTTTTTTTTTATGCCTGCCCCGTTTGCTCCTCCTCTGCAGGTGATCAGGATTGGGCATCAGAGATATATATAGAATCACCTCAACGGCTGTCGTCTGCATTTCAACATGCACATTTGAGTTTATTTTATTTTTTTCCATTAAATCTTTTACTCAGTTTTGGTATTTTCTTTCCCTTTTTATCGAATTGTGACAATGTGGTTCTGTCACTCTGCCTCCGACTGATGATGCTACATTCCAAGCAATTTAAAACTTTTACTTTATCAATGCTGATTTTTTTTAAATAAGATAGAATAAAAGTTTTGTACTTAATCATCCAATTATTCATAGATCATATTAATGGTTTTAGTGTCCCAGCATCTTAGTTAACACATATGACTTGATTGGCTCTACTCACTATTATGTTAGACCTTGATAAAATTGTTGTTGAGATTTTAGCCTATACAAAGGCTGATCTTTGGAAGGTGTGTGTCTCAAATTAGGCGCAAACATTTTCACACATGAAGAGCAGGGGCCATTTCACAAGGAAAGTTTTCTAAACTAAGATCCTCCTCCTGCCACTAGAGGGTGCTACTGCTGCGGTTGGTTAGACATATCGTGTTCACTTCCTGTTTGGATTACAGAGCAGTGTTGTCGCTGTTCAGTCTATCTCCGTCCAAATTAAGTTATTTTTTCGGTGATATCTCTGTATCTAAGTAATTCTAACTGACCAGAACTACTTTAAAACATAGCACATTCTGCTGCACTTTTCTGCTGAGCACTTGTCAGTTTCACACGGTTTTTTTTCTGATAGCAAGGAGTAGCTAGTCTAGGCTAGCGCTAGCTTAGCATTGCTATGGCTTCGCTCTCTCCCTCCCTTGACTCTTCCAACTCTTCCTTCTGCCTCTCCTGCTCTCTGTGTCAGATGTTCAGTTATTCCTCTGCCTCCTTTAGTATTTTTGTAGCTTTGGAGGCGAGGGTGTCAGAGTTAGAATTCAGGCTGTTGACCATCCAGGAGTTAAAGTAGGCCCCCCACGTAGCTGTCCTTCAAAAGTGCCTGAGCAGCCAGGCGATTGGGTAACTGTACTCAGAAAGCGTAGTCGTGGATCTATGGTCACCACCAACCCGTTCGTTTCAAACCGGTTTTCCCCACTCAGTGACACACCACTGAGAAGCCCACTCTGGTGATTGGCAGCTCCATAGTCAGAAACGTGGCATTAGAGACACCAGGGACCATAGTCAAATGTTTGCCGGGGGCCAGAACGGGCGACATCAAATCCTACCTGAAACTGCTGGCTAAGGATAAGGTTAAATACAGTAAGATTGTTATTCACGCTGGCGGTTATGACACCCGGTTACGGAGGTCACTAAAATTAGTGTTGCTTCAGTGTGTAAGTTTGCCAAAAAAATGTCGGACTCCGTGATTTTCTCTGGTCCCCTCCCTGATCTGACCAGTGATGACATGTTTAGTCGCATGTCATCATTAAACTGCTGGTTGTCTAGGTGGTGCCCTGAAAACAACGTGGGCTACATTAATAATTGGCAATCCTTTTGGGGAAAGCCTGGTCTGATTCGGAGAGACGGCATCCATCCCTCTTTGGATGGTGCAGCTCTTCTTTCTAGGAATCTGGCCACATTTATTAGTCCTCCAAAACCCTGACCACCCAGGGTGCAGACCAGGAAGCAGAGTTGTAGTTTAACACACATCTCTGCAGCTTCCCTACTGTTACCCACTCTTTACTCCATCCAGACAGTGTCTTGCCCACGACAAAAATCTAGTAAATTAGCAAATATTCTCATTATCAGTTAAAAAGGCATTTTTACATCTCCAGTCTGCCACATCATGACATCATTACATCATACATATTAGCAGATGAGTAGACATCCATGGCTCCAGCCTTTCAGATTTTTGGTGGTAATATTGTGCTTAGCTGTGTTTTTTTTTTTTACTTATCTGTTCTTGCAGGTCACTTATTCTAACCTGCCTTTTGGGAACTGAGTTTTAAATTTAATTTAAATGTACCAACACTGTGTGTGTCTTAGAGGGTCTTATTATTGAGCATTTATTTATTTCTGTATTTATTTTTAAATATGGTAGAGTTGGTCCTCCATACACAGCCCTTCCTCATTTGCATAATGAGGCAGAAATGAAGACAGGAATGTAAAAACAACAGGCAGAAATATATAACATTGAAGAAATAAATAGGGTAAACAAATACAAAGTGTGTGAGTGTGTGGGAAATGGGTGAATGGCTGAATGTAGTGTAAATATAAGTACATGCCATTTACTATTTACAAAGGAAGAATAAAACAGACTAAATATTATAACATGCACATAAATTCTTTAAAAAATAAGTAATTAATGAATAAAGTTGAAGATTATAGCAGAAAATAAATAAGGAAATTATTACAAAGGCAAATAAATAAACAAATTAAAAGAAAAATATACATTTATGTCGCACTGTATAATTTAATTTCTACCAACATTTATTTGTTTATTGTATTTTTGGGGGCAATTCATTGTATGCTTATTTATTTACTGAGCATTTATTTATTTCTGTATTTATTTTTAAATATGGTAAAGCTGGTCCTCTATATATTACAGATAGTACATTACAATTTTCACAACATTTGACAGCAATAATTTCACATTACTTTATATATTTAAACAGAGTTCTGATGTTCAGTTTAGGCAACTGGACAGATATATTTGAGAAAATATTTCTTATAGATGCTATTGGTCAGTTGGCTGATGATGATTTAATTGTTCAATATAGAGATGCCTTTTAAATAATTAGATTTTATGCAATCAGTGAATAGCTGGGTGCACAGTTTAAAAAGATAAGGTAGCCTATTATAGGAGATCGTTGCCTAACTCAACATTTAAGGAAAAAGCGAAAGAAAGTTCCAGAATGCAGTTTGGATTTGCACTTTTAATTGTATACATTGTTTTGATAGTACTGCTAAATTATGGAGCAAACCCTACCTTAATGTATAAAATATGAATATATATTCACTTATGTCAAATGCTAGATAAATGCTATAAATAAGATAAACTTTTAATCTCAATGAAAAGCATGTTGTTTTTTTGGGTTTAGTATCAAGGTTCCAAGGCCTTAAGTACAGTTGGAAGAAGAGCTTAAATCCTTACGCATTCTGAGAAATGACCTAGAAGGAAAACTCCAAACTGTTTAGAAAATGCCTTCAAAATTCAAAGGTGAGACCATGATTGCCAGGAGACTTAGATTTAAGGTGTTCAACAACAAATATGAAATCTAATGAATTGAACTGTAATTGGTTGATCACAGTATTCTTTCAAATCAATGTAGGTCATTTCAGTTTCTGTGAGAAATCTCAAAAGCTGGGAGGTAGATTCTTCACTGTATTGAGATGTTTATGGTATAAAAGTCTGTGCCAAATCTTTAATATGTGATGTCACCATCGATATTTAGTTTTTAGATTGATATTTGTTAAGTCTTAGCAATACGTTTTTAAAGTCGAAAAAAAAAATAAGCTGCGTTCTGCTCCGCTTCTTCCCACCTTCTCCTTCTGCATCTCACAAAAGGCTCCTTCAGCCTTCTTGTCTATAAATGTCATCTAATTTATTTTGCAGACTGATTGAATGTTGATTTTTCACTTTCAGATAAATGTTTTTATATCTTTTGTGTTATTTTGGTTATTTCTAAGCATATATTCTCATTAGCTTTTTTACCTTTCATGATTGAACATGCTTTTAAAAATGTATATCATATACATTTTAAAATTCCCTCCAAAAATTCTTCAACAATTCCAAAGGGAAATTAAATAAAGCTCCCAATTAGAACAATATTTATTATAAACTAAAGATACCAACTTGAGAAAACAATGAAAATAACCACCGGAGCAGAAAATGATTACGTCTGAGGCCTCGCTACCAAGCAGTACCACATGAATACTTCAGGAAGTGGTTCAAATTCCCTGCAAGTTCTGGCACGCATTTAATTAAACAGGATCCGTATTCTGTAAAATGTGGGTATTTTTTTGGAGATCTGAGGCCTATTTCACAAATCAGGTTTACTGAAAAATTTAGGTTTTTAAAACATAAAATC